AGGTCAGGAAGCAGGAGCTGGTGAGGTAAGATGTATGAAATTCTAGAAGCCAAGTGAAGACAGGGTTCAAGAAGGAGACCCCAACGGCACTCAATAAAGCTGACAGGCTGAGTAAGCTGGGGTCGGCCACTATCCACAACAGACGATTGCTGGCTGCACCTTCTGTAGACAGGAGGTGATAAAGCTTAAATGGCATGTGTTCTCAAGGTGGTGGGTGGAAGCCTCTTGTGAGCAGCTGGCAACCAACAGCAGCAAAGAAAGGGGCTGTAACTGCAGGGAGCAGCCGAGTGACAGTTCTGTTTTTTTGCTTTTGTGGTTTAATTATTTATACACTTTGAAAACACTGATAACTTTCGAAAACAAAGGCAAAAGTAAATGCATCCAGCAACATTTTCTCATCTGTACTGTAACAAGTTATAGAGGTAAATGTTAATCCATGGTAATGATAAGGAAAGGCACACTTGCCTTTTCATCTCAAAACTAAGACTAACAGTATACTCCAAAGATGATTCTTTAGCCTGTGAACAGTTCTCTCGCAGTCTTGACCCCTTGTGGATCTAAATGAGGGTTCCCAACCCTCTTCCCAGAATAGTAGATATCCACATACACAAATTTCCTTCCTTTTTTTTTTTTTAGTACTGGGGACTGAACACAGGACTTCACATTTTCAGGCAAGTGCTCTACCATTTGAGCCACTTCCCTAGTTCGTATTTCAGGGTAATTTCTGAATAGAAATTGCAATTTATCCATCATGGCCTGGGATTCCAGTCTTAGCTCACAATATTGCATATAACCAAATATAAGTCTCTCTCTCTGAAAACCTTCATTAGTTTTCTCTCAACTCCCCTCTCCTTTTATTAGTGGTGCTGGGGACTGAACCCAGGGCCTCACCAAACCGTTAGTGCATGACTGATCTACCGCTGAGTCACACCCAACCCTCCCTATTCTTAGTATCTTTTTTTTTTTTAATTCCTAGACATCTAAACCTCTGGTACTGTCTGCTAACACTAAGACCTTAGCAGAATTAGTTGAGGTCTCTCTCCTTCCCTAGGTGCACTCTGTGCATGTCACCTCTGCTGCCAATGACAGCTCACAATGAGGTGTTGGATTCACTTCCCTATCTTTATCAATATCACTATTCTTAAAGCCAGCCTATAGTTGTTTTCTCCCTAAAAGGAGTGTGAAAGTTGTGGTGAGTTGACTAGTACCCACCCCCAAAATAATTAACATCTATCTAGAACCTCAGAACATGACTTTATTTGGAAACAGGGTCTTTGCAGAATGTAATTATAAAGATGAGATTATATTGGACAAGGGTGGGCCCTATATCCAGTGACTAGAGCTGGAGGTCATTCCAATGACTTCTTCTTTATAAGAGGTGAGAACACAGAGACACGTAAGGAAAAAAAGTGAAGACAGAGGCCATTAGAAGCTGGAAGAATCAGGGAAGGATTTTCCCCACCAAGTCCCTAGAAGAACATGGTGAGTCACCAGTTCTGGATTTTTGGCCTCCAAAACTGAATGAAGAGAATATACTTCTGTTGTTTTAAGACACTAAGTTTATGGTGACTTGTTACAGTGGCCCTAGGAAGCTAATACATACCCAATATGTACAAAGACCAATACATCATTTAAATCACTGAAGCAAACTCTTCCCAGGGCACTCTCATAGCTTCTAGTAATCATCTGGTTTCAGTGCAGAAAGCACAAAACAAAACATCTCACTCTCACAGCCTGTCCCTTCTACAGCTGGTCATCTCCAGTATCTCACTTACTAGTCAGAAGTCATCATTTCCCCACATGTAGATATTTTAAATACCAAATCTCTTCATCTTCTCCTTAATGTAGAATGGCTTTTGTTTCTTAATAAAACATGTTTCCTCCATCCCAAGCTCATAAAAAAATTTACCATACTTTCCTAGTGCTTTCATGGTTTCACTTCTTCAGTGATGATACTGATAGCAGCCACATTTAAATAGCACTTGTATGTGGCAGGACTGTACCAAGTCCTGTGCATATATTAACTCATTTAATACTCACAACAGTCCTGTGAAGCAGGTACCATCATCATCCCTGTTCTATGAAACTGAGGCAAAAAGTGGTTAAGTAACCTGCTCAAAGTCACACAATTAGTGACTAGGGGGATGGGGGGGAGGGGGGAGTTGTACAAACCCAGGCAATCTAACTCCAGCACCTATGCTCTTACCCACAAGGAATTCCAATTTATATGTTTTACCCATCTGAATTTATTTCAGTTTAAGGAGTGAAGTGGGGCTTTAGCTTCTGGTCCTAAAAAGCCAACTATTTTACACATATTGGATACTCTATTTTTATCCTACAGTCAAAATGCCGTCATTATTATGTAGTAAATTCTCAAACCTACTTGAATCTATTCTTGAATTCTCCATACAGTTCCATTTCATTCCTGTAGCAGATGTTAACTCTTTATATAATAGGAATATTATTAGCTTTTTGCCTTTCCTATTTGATACAAATATTTCATCACATATTTTTTTAATGTGGTCATAAAAATTCCTTCCAGTTTTCATCTACTGCTTTAGAGAGAGTTCAAGAACTTTGGTAAGCATCCATTCCTATTCCTAACTCTTCTATGAGATTAAAAAAAATTGGCATATATTTAGTCCATTTGGAGTTCATCTGGTATATCGTAAAATAAATAAAAATTATAAGCCTGGATGCTTAGATTTCTTTTCCAATTTTTATTGTAATAAAATACATGTAACACATAACTTACACTCCTAATCATTTTTAAGTGTCAAGTTGTATTAAATACATTTGATAAGCTTGTGCAACCATCACCATCTCCCTAACTCCTTTCATCTTGTAAAACTGAGACTCTACTCCATTAGACAATAACTCCCTGCTACTCCTCTCCTCAGCCGCAACCAACATTCTTTCCTGTGTCTCCAATTCTAATCTCTATAGAGGAACCTTATAGGTAATCATATAAGTGGAATCATATAGATTTGCCTTTTTTGTAACTGGCTCATTTCACAGTATAATGTCCTCAAAGCTCATTCATGTTGCAACATATGTCAGAATTTCCTTTCTTGGTAAAGATGAACATTCCACTAAATGTGTATACCACATTTTGCCTATCCATATACCAATGGACCGATGGGCAGTGGGTTGCTTCCATGTTTTAGTTATTGTGAATAATATTGTTTATTTATTTGACAGTAGCTATCCTAATGAATGTGAGGTAGTTTTGATTTGCATTTCCCTAATGATTAGTAATATTGACCATCTTTTCACATGCTTATTGTTCTTTATCTTCTTTGGAGAAATGTCTGCTCAAGTTCTTTGCCCATTTTTTAACTGGGTTGTTTGAGTTTTGTTACTGTTCTTAGAATCTGTATAGTTCTCTATATACTCTGGCTAGTAATCCCTTATCAGATAAATGACTTGCAAATATTTTTCCCACTCTGAGTTGCCTTTTCATTGTTCATAGTGTCTTTTGCTGTATAAAATTTTTTAACTTTGATGAAATCCAATTTGTCTGTTTTTTTGTTTTGTTGCCTATATATTTGGTATAATATGCAAGAAAATAGTACCAAATCCAATGTCGTAAAGCTTTTGCCCTGTGTTTCCTTCTAAGAATTTCATACTTTTAGCTCTTAACATTTAGGTCTTTAACCCATTCTAAGTTGATTTTTGTACATGGTGTTCGATAAGATCTAACTTTATTCTTTTGCATATGTATATCCAGTTTTCTCAGCACCATTTGCTGAAATGACTGTCTTTTCCCCCATTGAATGGTCTTGGCACACTTATCAAAATCATTTGACTATATACGCAAGGGTTTATTCCTGGGTTCTCTACTCAAATCTACTGCATGTTTGTCTTCAAGCCAGTAACCATACTGCTTAGATTACTGTAGCTTTATGGTAAGTTTTGAAATCAGGAAGTGTAAGTTCTCCAGCTTTGTTCTTTTTCAATATTGTTTTGACTATGTGAGATCCTTTGAGATTTCAGATGAATTTTAATGTAGGTTTTCCTATTTCTACAAAAACTGTATTGGAGTTTTGATAGGTCTGCAGATCACTTGTGCAATACTGACACCTTAAAATATTAAGTCTTCCAATCCACAAACATAGGTTATGTTTCTAC